TTTAAATCTTAAAATAGAGACATATAGAAGCCTCTACAGAGTTGTTCTCACCAGCCCTTCCCCCTCAAGCGTCTGCTTTGGTTCCTTCTCCATCTGACCCACTCATACGACCTTTCTTCTCTACTCCAAGCTTTCCAAAAATAAAACAGATTTTGTCAAAACATAACCTCATTTTTTTCAAAGCCAAGAGTATACAGGAGTCCTGAGGAAGAATCAGAGCCACGAGTAAGAAAACCGTAGGCCTGGACTCCCCTCAAGTAGGGGAGGTACAGCGCCCAGCTCTGCCTTTCTCCCTTCATACTTTGGATTGCCTTTGACGAGAACCCTTATCTGCAGAAGGTAAAGAAACAACCGGATGGGAAAAGAGGAGAACTTTAAAAAAAAACACTCTTGGGAATATATCCAAGAGAGGCCCTATCATACAACAAAAGTATATGCTCAACTATGTTCATAGCAGCACTGTTTGTAATAGCCAGAACCTGGAAACAACCCAGATGCCCTTCAATAGAAGAATGGATGAAGAAAGTATGGAATATATACATATTAGAGTACTACTCAGCAGTAAAAAACAATGACTTCTTGAATTTTGCATGCAAATGGACGGAAATAGAAAACACTATCCTGAGTGAGGTAAGCCAGACCCCAAAAGAGGAACATGGGATGTACTCACTCATAATTGGTTTCTAGCCATAAATAAAGGACATTGAGCCTATAATTCGTGATCCTAGAGAAGCTAAATAAGAAGGAGAACCCAAAGAAAAACATATAGGCATCCTCCTGAATATTAACCTTCATCAGGCAATGAAAGGAGACAGAGACAGAGACCCGCATTGGAGCACCGGACTGAAATCTCAAGGTCCAAATCAGGAACAGAAGGAGAGAGAGTATGAACAAGGAACTCAGGACCACGAGGGGTGCACCCACACACTGAGACAATAGAGATGTTCTATCGGGAACTCACCAAGGCCAGCTGGCCTGGGTCTGAAAAAGCATGGGATAAAAACCAGACTCGCTGAACATAGCGGACAATGAGGACTACTGAGAACTCAAGAACAATGGCAATGGGTTTTTGATCCTACTGCACGTACTGGCTTTGTGGGAGCCTAGGCAGTTTGGATGCTCACCTTACTAAACCTAGATGGAGGTGGGTGGTCCTTGGACTTCCCACAGGGCAGGGAACCCTGATTGCTTTTTGGGCTGACGAGGGAGGGGGACTTGATTAGGGGAGGAAGAGGGAAATGGGAGGCGGTGGCAGGGAGGAGGCAGAAATCTTTAATAAATAAATAAATAAATAAAAACAAACAAACAGGAAAAAAAAACAGGTAAATAAAACATCATTTACTAAGCGCCAGGGTCTTGGAGAATACCTCACAAGATACACATCACGGCCCCTACCGTGTAGACAAAACCTGGAGGGACAAACTGAAGAAAGGTATGTCCTTGTCTGAAGTCGTGCAGCTAGGGAGGGGTGAGCCAGAGGCTAACCCACTCCCAGGGGTTTCTTCTACCCCCTCTATAGCCTCTTCTGTTCCCTTACTTCCTCCCCTCAGACAGACAATCGCGTTCTTGAGCTCTAATTCAGACTCACTAGGTGGCCCGGTAATTGTTAGGGAATCCTCTGAGCTGTGCAGCCCTCACCTTTATCTCAGCCACCTCAATTTCGTCACCTCAGCCCTCCACCTCACGTCAGGTATAGTTAACCTGCAATCTTACCTGTGTCCCACGACTTCACTGCTCTGCTTTCTGGGGCTACAGATTTGTCTCAACTTAGCCCTTAGGAGATATTCTGAGTACCACAATATGCAGTCTTGCGCATCTGGCTTCTTTCCCTTAGCCTCGGGTTCTTGGTTCGTCCATGTAGCATACGTAACATGCGGCTCTTTAAAAGTGGTAGTGGGCTTCTGTGGGGAGGGTACGCAACGTGACAGCCATCAAATCACCCTTTGACGGACTTACGGTTCCTGCCCAGGTTTTTGTCACCAGATACAGCAAGTCTTTATGAGGAAGCGGATTAGTTTTCTTGGCTGTATACTTAGGAGTGGAATTACTGGGCCATGTGGTAACTGTGTTCAGCTTTTTCAAGAATTCTGAGGCATTATTTTTCAAACAGACATCCCATTTCACAACGCCACCAGCAGCGAGTGAGCGTTTTAGGTTTCCACATCCTTGCTAAGGTTTTTCGTGACTGGTCTTTTTCTCAGAGTCACCCTGGGGGTGGGGGTTGTGGGCCCTCCATCGTGGTTTCGATTCATGTCCCCCTAATGACAGAAGGTGATGAGCCTCTTTTTCATGTACTACCCAGCTCTTCATAGAGCATCTTTGGAAATCAGTCTACTACTGATTTTTAACGATTCCGCTTGGTCTGTCTGTCTCTCTCATCAGCAAAGGAAAAGATGAGCCGATTTTGTTGATCCTTCAAAGAACTAACTTCTAGCCTCATTGATTTTTCCCCCATGTTTCCCTCTTTTCTATATCCTTGATTTCCTCTCTAAACTTTATAAATTCCCCTGTCGCTGCTTGCTTTGAGTTTTGTTTGCTCTGCCGTTATAGGTTCTTAAGATAAAAACTTGGCTATTGCTATGTTTGGTGCTCCACTTGGAATCGAGGCCATGCCTCTGAGGGAAATGGTGGTGCTCCTGGTTCACCAGGTCCTGGTAGGATTTCTTCACTTTTACCTTTGGCACGGGGTCTGGAGACAGAAGCACGTGATAAGAATGCCACAGATGACCATTTCTGATAGCGTTGTCCAGCTTTCTAATTGGTTTTCTTCCCTCCGCAGGAAATCAGGTCTTGTTTGTGCTCATCCATTTCTCATTCTACCCCTTGTGACCTTTGGGGTCATGGGGCATAATTCATTTCAAAAGATACTTAAGCCTCGACACACCGAGCTTCTGGGAATCTGCATTTATAGCAGAGAAAGCCGATGGCGTCCCCATGCACCCCAAACATGCCAGGAAGGCAGGACACCTAGCCCTCCCACCAGTGCTCAGGCAGAGACTCCTGCAGTGGCCCAGAGGGTCACAGAACACACCGTGTCATCTTCTGCAGGTCTGCATGAGGCAGAAGGCTTTCCAGATGCATGCTGGTTGAGGCCCAGACTACAAACCCAGTCTTCTGAAGAGAACCGGCCCTAGCTTCTCCTCTCCTTAGGGATACAAGGCAAGGAGGGGACAAGGGTAGGGACTCAGAGACTGGGCTCCAGCGCTGTACTTCCTCTTATTGGAGCCCCTCTTTGGGGGAAGCACTCTCCTCGTTTGTAGCAGAGAACATGAATAGCCTTATCTTCACAGAGTTACTCAGATGTGAGAAAAGTTTTATGATGGCCACTGCCATGTTAAATATGACCGAAGTGCTAGGACATGGACAGCTTTCAGTGTCGCAAGACACAGTGGCATGAGAAGGATTGCTCTTCCCCTGCCACTTCCTTGTCTCTTCTCAGCCCCAGAAAGCAGGCTGCTGCAGAACAGCAGGTGGCACCATGGTCCCCCAGCACTGTAGACTGATTGTCCCCTTCTGCGTGGCAGGGATGGAGGAAGGAGCAGAGGCTGAGACAGGGACAGAGCTCTGTTTTGTCCTTGGCAAATGTAAGAGCATCTCTAGCCCTGGCCACAGCTGTAGCTGCTTGTGCCATAGCAAAAGGGCATCTCTGCAGCTAGAGCAGAGGCTGCGAAGGGAGCCCGGGAAGAGGTCCCTGCTGGGCAGCTTTACCAGGCCTCTTCTGCCTGCTCGCTTTGAGTCATCACAGGCTGACTGCTGATCTTATCAGACTCACCAGTGTGTCACAGCAAAGCTACATGAGACACACCCACCACTGAGAGCATTTATGTGTCAAGAAAAGGGTCACATTTTTAAAGTGTGTTGTGACAGACATTGGGATCTGTTATAAATTTCCAAAGCTGCAAACTCTAGCGTCAGGCTTTAATATTTAAGGAAAATCAAGTTACTCATTTCAGTACACACCCCTGGGATATATTGCAGAGGTATGTGCAAGTGAAAGAAACCCTGGATCTTAGGCTGAATAAATAAGACAGTCTAAGCTGTACCGTTGCCTTGTATGGTGCTTTAATACTGATCATCAACTTGACAGGATCTAGAATCAGCTAGGAGACAAGCCTTTGGGACTGTCTCTAAAAGTGGTTCTCAACCTTCCTAAACCTGTGACCCTTTAATACAGTTCCTCACGTTGTGGTGGCCCCCAAACATAAAATAATTTTCATTGCTACTTCATAACTGTAATTTCCTACTGTTATGAATATCTGTGTTTCCCAATGGTCTTAGGCAACCCCTATGAAAGGGCTGATTGACCCCAAAGGAATCACGGCCGTCAGGTTGAAAACCACCTCTAGGGTAGATTAATTATAGTGGAAACCCACTTTAACTCTGTACGGTGCTTGTCTGTGGGCTGGGGATTAGAGCTGGAGGAACAGGAGACACCAGTCTGCATCTCTCTGTTTCCTGAGAGCAGATACAATATGACCAGCTGACTCCGCCTCCTGCCTCCATATCTTCCCTACCATGAGGGATGTACCATCAGGGAGCTGATACAAACCACTCTTCCTTAAATCCCTTTGCCAGATACTATGTTGCAACAATAAGGAAAGAAACTAATACACTTAGCTTTTATTATGGAAATTAGGAAGCTGCCATGTCCAGCAGGGAGCACAGGAGAGAAACTTCCTCAACTACCGAGGTTCTAGACCAGAGCAGAACTGGATGCTTGAGTTTCAGAGAAACATCTGTAAGCCACACCTTGCTCACTGGGGGGCTTCTCGCATGCTGCCACAGCCCCTGCCTCAGCTCTGCAGCGCCCCCGGTCTTACCTCGACCACTTCATATCCCAACCTTCTATTCAGGTCATCTTTAAGGTCTCCTTCATTCCCGGTCACTCTTCATGCCAGCCAGCGCCCCGCCCTCTGCACGAGCACCCCGGCCTGTCCCCCACTTTAGAGCCAGCACTGGAGGGGAGTAACCACAGGCTAAGAGCAGAGCTTCAGCGTTACCTATTTGCCTTTCCAGATCAGCGGCTTCATCAGGAGTGGCTCGAGGGAGGACTCCCGGATCACTGAAGCTGGTCCGAAGCAGAGTCCCCATCACGAAGAAGAACAGGATACCGCCGACCACGGGGATAGCGGGGGTGATGTTCACCGCGAGGTATGGACAGCTGCCAGCAGGTTTCAGAGAGAGAGAAGAGAGAGGATTACAGTGTTAGGATCCACAGTCACAGTTCGGATCTTCCAAGAAGCAAAATCATCACTTAGCTGAGTGAGACTGATTTCTGTTAAAACCCATCTGGGTTGGGGAATGTGGCTCAGTGTAAGGCACTTGTCTAGCGATTGTGAGAGCCTGAGCCTGGATCCCCAGAGTCCGTGAAATAGCATGCCTGTAATCCCAGAAACCCTGTGGACAGAAGGGAGACTGAGGCACGCAGGAGTCTTCCCAGGAGCTCCGAGGCCAGCTAGCCTGGTATATCCCATCCTGAAGTAATAAAGAGGCCCTCATCTCAAGAACAGTGGACAGCGAGGAACAAAGCCCCAGGATGTGCTCTAACCCCCACTTGTGAGATTGTGGCATGTGCACACCCATGCTCACACCCATGTACACCCACACAAGAGATGAATTTAAATTTTAAAAAAGAAAATTTAGACTGGGCAGTACTGATGCGCGCCTTTAATCCCAGCACTTGGGAGGCAAAAGCAGGCGGATCTCTGTGGGTCAAGGCCAGCCTGGTCTACAGAGTGAGTTCCAGGACATCTAAGGCTACAAAGAAAAACCCGTCTCAAAAAACAAAACAAAACAATTAAATTTGGGGTGGTTTGCAGTGGGCTCCGTGACAACCCCACCCCTCCACTGATCAGGGCAGGCCAAGCTCCACAAGAGAGACACTGGTAGAAGAGAAAACAATCCTGCTTGTACAATCGATCTGGAACGCCTGTAGCTTGAATAAATACACACGAGCCCTTTGCATTGTAAACACTTATCAGCCCAAAGCCCCCACCCATCTCTGGAAATACAGATGATAATGTCAACATAGACACCTTAGTCTGACCCACCTGGGCCAAACCACTCGGGAACTTTCCGCCAGCTTAACACTGACTTGCAAACACCAAGGAATCATTTGTCAAGACTGTGGGGGCAGTTTGTCCAGAGGAGGGCGAAACGCCATAGACATGGGCCTGCAGCTGAGTTTCTGAAGAGCCAGGGAGAAGACTCACTGGCTGAGCCACACCAACCCCATGCTTTCCCAGGAAGCACCTGGAGCCATCAATTCACTAGTGTGGTCCAGTTCTTCTTATTTTTGTTCTGTTTATTTTTAAGAGATGGGTCTTCCCTGGCTCCCCAACCTGGACTTTGTACCCTGGACTAAAGACATCCTCCCGTTTCAGCAATTCCAAGTAGTTGGAACAATATCAGATGCTTTTCACTACCTGCCCTTAATGCGACAGCATCCTGTTAACTGTTGGTGGACAGAGGAATTATGCCACAGGGACTGTGGGGGTTGAAGAGAAGGGACTTTGGCAGACTAAAGTTTGTACTGGGACCTGGCACCTCACCCTTGATCTTATACTGTGGTATGCTGGGGTTGGGCAGGTTCAAGCACTGGGCCCTTGGCCTGTTGTCATGGTGTCTTGATACCGCAGGGTGATGAGACATAGAGCAAAGAGTTAGCCTGGTACTTAATGAAGGATGAGGTCTGCCACGGCTATCAGTAGTCTCTTGTGGCCACATTAAGTGTTGTCATGGGTGTGGGAGAACACACATGGCACCGTGGGATCACAGTGTCTCTGTAGCGCTGCGGGGAGGCACTCCTAGCTTGTCCTCAGAAGCACAAGTCCCGGCTGTTCAAGTAAAGAACAGACAAGAAGGAGGTGAGCTCTGCTCAGATGTGGGAGGTGCGTAGGGGTGTGGCTCCCATTTGGGTACCAGCACCCTACTGTGTACAGGTCTCTGGTGGGATGCCCAGTGGGGATACTGTTAAGATTGGCTCTCAAGGACCACATGACAGGAACCCCTTTGCTGAAGGAGTGAAGGCCTTTCAGAATCTTCTGCCATGAAGAAGCCCAGATACTCCCCATGCCTTTCAGAAGGTGGTGGGATGGTCCCAGATGTCAGTAGCGGGGACAGATTCCCTGCTGGCCCTGTGAACTCTAGGAAAGTCACCTGATGAGACACAACACCAGAGCATTTCCAGGGCCTCCATGACCACGCCCACCAACTCTGCTGCAGGGCCAGAACAAAGCAAACCCACACCACAAAACAGTGCTTCACTCCAGCTGGGTTGCTGGTTGCTGTGTCTTCACAGGAATAGGAAAAAAAAAAAAAAACAACCAGGTCATTGCTAATCTGGTACCAGCTCCAGAGAGACTCGTAGAAAGTGAGGTGACTTGGAGAGTGGGAAGAGACAGAGGACCTTGCTCAGGGAAAAAAAAAAAAGAAACCGTAAAAAACATTAACCTCAGAACCCCCTGTATGGGTTCTATCCCAAGACTTGGGGGCTTTATGAAACAACTAAGCCCCAAGTACCCTACTCCTACCAACTGTGACATTGCCAGCAGAGGCTCAGCACTTCAAGAGTGTGTTTTTTGTAAAACTGAGCAAAGCCCTTGTGGCAGTTTGAAAGAAAATGGCTCCCAAACCAGGGGAGGCAGGGGCAATTAGGAGGTGTGGCCTTGTTGGAGGAAGTGTGTCACTGTGGGGGTGGGCTTTGAGATCTCATATATGCTCAAGCCATGCCCAGTGAGACAGACCACTCCCTGTTGGCTGTTATGGGATGTAGAACTCTCAGCTCCCTTCCTAGCACCGTGTCTGCCTGCCTGCTACCTTGCTTCCCACCATGATGATAATGGACTGAACCTCTGAACCGTAAGCAAGTCACCCCAATTAAGTGTTTTCCTTTATAAAAGTTGCCATGGTCACAGTGTCTCTTCACAGCAAGAGAAACCCTAACTAAGACAGCCGTCTTTTGATGGCCCTTTTTTTTTTTAATCTCACCTCTTATCTTCTGCCAAGGGGAGATGCAGGCTTACTAGAAGGAGGTCCCTTGATCTTGGGTTTCCCAGCCTCTGAAACTGTCAGAGATGAATCTGTGCTCTTTGGAAATCATTCTGTCTGGGGCATTCTGTAATAACTTCATGAACTTGACTAACAGACCTCTTTGGAAAAGCAGTCACACATCACAGAAATGCCTCTTCAATTCAGTGGGTCTTGCTGTGTGGGAAGGGAGTCTGTGCTTCTCTCTCTCCAGACGCTTTAGGCAAAAACTGACGCAATTAACCTCTTTAGTGGGCTTTCACCTTTTCCAAAACATTTGATTTTGTAATAGTAAGCACTGAAAAGCTTCAGGTTAGATACTTAAGAAACTAGGGATTCCATAACCAAGCCATTAGCTGTTCTCACACTCTGAGCCCGCAGAGAGGGTTTTCCCCCCTGGTACCTTGGTCATGCAGATCTACTGAAATGGCCTTCCACTGTGTGGGCCTGGGTTCTGGGGTCTAACACAGAATTTATATTTTAACTTGAGACATGAAGAGAATTGAGAAGTCTTTCCTGAAATGACTGTTTCCCCATTAGAGACTTAATATAAAACAATCATCAAAATCTCAGTGCTATATCAGACTCAGAACCCAAAACATCTGTCGAGGCCCCATATGTGTGAGAGGGTGTGGCAGACAATACCTTTTTTGGGGTGTCTCTGCTTTGTTTCCTGTTGCCGTGATAAAAACACCCTGACCAAAGCAGCCTAAAGGAAAAAGGGTTTATTTGGCTCATAATTACAAGTTGCAGTCAATCCTGATGGGGACATGTAGGTGGCAGGAACTTGAAACAATTAGTGTTGCTACATTCATAGTCAAGAGTAGACAGCAGTGAATTAATGTAAGATGCTTATAGGAAAGATGCCCACATTTAGAGTGGGCTTTCCCACTTTAATTAATCCAGTTAATAAATTCCTCATAGGCAACAGGCATGCTCACAGCCAACTTAATCTAGACAATGTCTCTCTTCCAACTGAGAATCTCTTCCCAATCTACTGTGTCAAGTCAGCCACCACAATGGGCATGTTTAGCGTTTCCATGGGGCACCTAAATTCAACCACTTCAAGCCCAGACCTTGAACTGTGACATCAGCTTGGGAGTAATCAGACAGGAACTCCGATTTTGGAGCTCATTAAAAGCATGTGTCGTATCAAGCAGATGTTAGCTTTGTCTCTCTTATTGCCATTAAAAAAGCAACCTCTGTCATGTTACACCTTGAAAATGTGCCGGTATGTGGCCACCAGAAATAAGCCACCCCTATTAAACTCAACCAAAGACTACCAGCGGTAAACTCACTGACGTTGACAGCGTGCGTCTGTGATGTGAGAGGGCCCTATGCTTAGGAAATGCGTACTGCAGAATTTAGGGACAAAGTACCATGAGGTGTGCGGTCTTCTTTCAAATAGTTTAGAAAAAGTATGGCAGAGGGAGATAAAATGGCATGATTATTTATAGGTGAATTTAGGTAAAAAAAAAAAAAGGTATGTGTTATTATTCTTATTGCAACTACTCTTGCCCTCCAGTTTGTTGAGGTCTGTAAGTCCTTTCACGTGGAAGCTGAGGAGCTGCCCTTCTGTTGGGCTTCCTTGGAGAAACTATCCCACAGCTCACTGAACTACTATGTGTCACATTCTGCACGTATTTGCCAGGCTCTTCGGGATCCTCCGTGCTCTGACAGTAGATGAGCTCTTTATGTCAATAAAGTGTTATGAAATAGTGGGTGCTTTGGTGACAGCTGTCCTCTTCCACCAGCCTCTATGTGACCAAGGACAGTACTGAACTCTCTTGGGAAGTCCCCGCAACTCTATTATCAATGCTGCAGGATTCGCACCTCTAGACAATGGCATCTGTGCTAGAAAGACAACTTCAAGCTGAAGTTCAGAAGAAGCTGAAAGCATCAATAGTCCTGGTGATGACATGCAGTAGCAGACTCTGCCTTTGACTGCGACTGTGAGTACAGATTGCCAGGAGGAAGGAGACTGGGTGGGCAGCTTGCCAACTCACAGCCACTGGCAGCACTGATTCAGCAACTAAAGAACTATGAGCATCATAGAGATTCTCCGCCCAAGCTCGAACCGCTTGGAAACAAACAGGCTCCTTCACATTCTGAGCAACAGTGCCCTGAGCTCCA